GAGGGAAACTGGCTGGCAAAGCAAAGTCAAGATTCGCTTAACGACCGGATTTGCTTCACCATGGCGGCGATTCCTTTAAACCGCTGTGGAGAAACAAAGGGGCGAGATTCACTTTGAACCGCCGCCTGGCTTGGAAAAACGTTGGCCTCCATTGTGGACTTAAATCGTGGACTGCCTGGAATCAGGGACGGAGAAGGAAGGAAGGCGGCATAAACTGGATCGATCGGTCTTTTAAATCTTCTTTTCTTCTCCAGGTTTCTCTACGCCAAACTTCTCCTCCTTTTGACTGAACTTCGGACGCTAAAAGTGGAAAACACCCGTCAGATCCATCACATCGATGACAGCCAGAATCTCTCTTCCTTGACCCCGCTGCTCTCCGAAATTATCAGCTAAAAATCCTGGATTAGGAGAATCTTTGCTTTGCAAATAGATACCAGGTAGTCCTGGGCTTACAAACGGTTTGTTTAGGGACGGTCCCGAGTCGCGACGGCACCTGGAAAAAGGGGACTCGGGACCATGTTTTACACTTACGACCACCGCAATCAAAATTCGACCGACTCGTGTTTATGACGGTTACGCTGTCCCCTTTGGTGACTTTCTGACAAGGGGGAAAAATTCCAGTGGGCAGACGATTCTCTGCACATTCTCAGGGGTTTTGGAAATGCTATTTTGCTAATTTTAACAATGCAACGAAGAAATGGACTTTTTTTAACCCCTGCTCTTTCAGTAGCACTTTAATGGTAGCAAATTAATTAAATAAAAAACATGGTTTATTTTTCCAGATGGGTTTTTCATCTTGTGGGTACCCTCAAAAGATTCCCCTGCAACCAACCGTATTTTCTTTTTACCATCTCTCTTTTCATGTTTTATCTATTTTATTTTTATCTTACCCTCTTTCATCTATTTCATTATGTATTTTTCTTTTCATCTATTTATGTATCATATCTACATCTTTTCTACTGTGTTCATCTATTTTATCTTTTATTTTCATCTCTCTTTTGTTTTTTAATCCTTCCTCTTTTCTTTACCATCTTTTTCACCAAGTTTATTTTATTTTATTTTTATCTTTATTTCTCTTTTCATCAATTTTATCTACCGGGCTTTGGTTGTTTTATTTTATTTTTTAGATTTCTTCTCATCTATTTTGATTTATCTTCATCCATCTTTTCTTTACCATCTTTCTTTTCATTGAGTTCCATTTTATTTTTTATCATCTTTTCATTTCTTTCATCATTTTTATCCATTTACCTGTTTTTCTTTTCTTTAGTACCATCTTCCTTTTCATCTATTTTGTTTTATTTTCATCTATCTTTTTTTAAATCCATCGTCTTTATCATCTTTTTCATACGGTTTACCTATTTTATCTGTTTTATTTTTATTTATTCTTGTTTATCCCTCATTTTTTTTTTCATCGGTTTTATCCGTTTCATTTTTATCGACCCGTCTTTCCTTGGTTTATCTATCCTCTTCCTTTTTTCATTTTATCTGTGTTATTCCATGTATTTATCTCTCCGTTTTACTTTCTAACCGATCAGCTGTTCTTGTCGTCTCTCGGTTTTCTTTCCCACACTCAAAAGGGGCAGGAAAGGCGTCACTAACCAAAAGGGTCATAACTAGAGGATGACTTGTAAAGTTTTGAGGAAAGTGGCAACCGTTTCCTGTCTATGAAAATATCAAAACAAGGCGTTAAAAGAACCACACCTGAAGCGTTTTGAGGGGCTAGGAATTCTAGCCTCAACATCGTTTTAATCATATTTAGAGTCACCATTGCCCTGAAGTCATAAAATTCAGCTTTTTGGTCCTTGCCCCTGAATCAGCCAAATAACACAAGCCGTCCAGGAAACAGCAGCTGAGTTGAGGGGCTCTTTCAAATTTCAGGGCCCCCACATGACCCACACCAAAATGGCGCCGATCCCGCGCTCCACTGGGGAACCCAAGAGATCAGAACTCTCCAAAGACCATCAAACGTAGAAAGGAGACCCAAAATCCTGTGCCTGGCTTTTACTTTGCCCTAAGCGAGCAAAATCGGAGGTCCCAGGGGGGTGAGAAACGGGCACCCTTGCACCCAGGGTGTGTTTCTCTCCAGGCAGGAATCGTGCACGGACCAACGGAGGAGGCCGTGGCATCGCCGCGTATCTACGCGAGACCGCAAGGGCCCCGATACCCTCGTGTCCATCATCCAAGGCCGCATTGCTCTAACCGAGCAATGCCCCCCCCACCTTTCAAAACCCAACCGCCTCCATTTTGTAAGAGACCCAGGCCGGAGAAGGCCCTCAACCCACGATGATGCTGAACCCACAATGGAAGCGGTGTTTCCAATGGTTGAGGAAGGCGCCCAGCGCTAAGGTCACGGGCAACGGGGGTATTTTCTTCTCCAGAACGGCCCCCACGCACCAGTTGCTGTCCACAAAGCCTGAAAGAAGAAGAAGAGTGAGGCATTAGCGGCAGCTTTGGCCTAGTAGTGGTTAAGGCACCGGGTTAGAAACCAGGAAAAGGGTGAGTTCTAGCTTTGCCGTAGGCAGGAAAGCTGATTGGGTGATTTTGGGTCAATCACCAGGAGACGGGGAGTTCGAGTACCACCTTAGGCATGAAAGCTAGCTTGGTGTCTTAGGGCCAATCACCAGGA